CATTTTGAGCCATTTTCATTCTACCAGGAGTAGACATGATTTTCGTGAGGTGTCATACGGTGTCGTGCATTGTCCGTCCAATGTCCGATTGACACCAAACTTGGCGAGCATTCATATTTCATATGGACGGACTTAACTCCCGAACCGCATGACCAAATTCCTTCCGAAACCTCGACTTTTGAAGTTAAGGCTCGGGGCCCTACCCGGCCCTTCAACAAGCCTATCTTGTCCTTCATGTCCATGCTGATGTCTCTGTTATGCTTGTGTCTCAACATGTCTTCAATGCCCACTTTGCGTGGTGGTGTGTTGGATGATGCATTGTCCTCCTCGATCGCATCATGGCATTCTTCTACGTTGGCCCGCATATGGCTGGATGGGCGTCTCTTGAGGGACGCCCCTTTGCTTGTCATGACATGAGGGTCACAACCTACTCTCTTCATAGTAAGGTTGTGACATTCTCCCCCACTTAACTTAGTCATCGTCCTCGATGACTTACCCGGGTCACAATCATATTGCGGATTGTGACATTCTCCCCTACTTGATTTAGTCATCGTCCTCGATGACTTTCTCGGGCGCGTTCGCCCCACCTATTGTGAAGTTCTCCCCCACTCAATCTCGGCATCGTCCCGATGACGATCCGACTCTTTGTCTGTTGGCGACTTGACTTGCTGGATTTGGTTGTGTTTCAGAAAAATCTTCTATTGTTGAGCACCTGACGATCTTTTGTCATAATGCTCTCCCTGCTGACATCTTATGCCAACTTGGGACAAGTTCGAGTGGATGCTTCTGACTTCTCTTTTGTCAAGTGGCACCACGTTCTGACTCTTGACTTGGTCAGTTGTTGGGTGAACTTGTCCTCACTTAGGCTTGTTCCTTTATCTACGGCTATCCCCATTCGGACCTATTTCTGTTGTTCGCCTATCTTGGACTCGGCCACCGAGACTCGCAACGTAGACGTGACTCTTCAGCGTTTGCCATAGTTGTGGGTGAGGCTGACTCTCTTTGTAGACACTCACCAGACAAGTATGGACTTCAAAGGGCACTTTTTGCCCTATTTTGGCCAACTTGGCCCCAGTGTGTGCATCCTCTTTGGATCACATAAACTAGTGCACCCCTCGGGGTGGGGCTCGCAAGCCCAGCCGCGACACTCTTTGGTTGCGACCACTTCTCCTATGAATTAATTCACCCCTTGGGGTGGGGCTCGCAAGCCCGGCCGCAACACTCTTTGGTTGCGACCACTCCTCCTATTGAGCAAAGTCAACTCTTTGACAGTCTCTTCAGTTGTTGGCGCTAACTTTCGGCCAACTCTTTGTATTTTGTCACATCGTGTGACTATTGTTGTGCGTGAACTTCCAGCTTGTTGCTCACTTCTCGAGCGGATACTGGTCTTGACATCTGTTGGTGGAGTCATCCACCCTAGGCACAAGGTGGTGACTCAAGGAATACACGTGTGCTCGTATGTCCGAGCACCTTTACGGGGTGAGAGACTTATTGATGTTGCTCTCCCCCGCTCGAACTCAGCTGCCTCTTTGCAGCAAGGTCGTCCCCCCATAAGGACTTACATTGTATACGGCTCTTGCACTCGGCCGACGTTTGTCTATTCTTGGCTCTCGGCTTCTCTGCTTGCAACCACTGACACTATTCCTCCAATGTGAATGGTTCTTTGGAAGGCACCGTCATGGTGCTTTCTGTTTCATCTGTCTTGTCTACTTCGAAACTGCAAGCTCTTCTCAGGTGAGCTTGGTTTTTGCTTGTCGGGTAGATCTTCCCATATTGAGGTGTCGACACACGACACTAATGAATTTCGGGTAGTCTTGGCTTCAACCCCCAACTGATTATAATTCTGACCGGCAACTGTCCTGCCCATTACGGCACTCTTGACACACTTGCAAGGTCTTCGATCAACTCTTGGGTTTGTTTCTCTTGACTGTCTTGCCCGACTAGACACACAAAGTGTGGCTCTGATACCAACTGTCACAGTCCTACATTCTTGACCGTGCGGCGTCGTGATCAATACACGCTCACGACCAGCCTTAAGGGGAATTAAGCCCCATTATATTTTTCGCCCCGGCTTTGTGGCTTCGTCGGACCTTAGGCAAGGTTTGCCTTCGCCAATCGAACATCGCTTGTGCGGAATCCAAGCTTGTTCAACCACGCACGCCGCCTGTGTGTGTATGTTCAATCATCTGCGACACATCCGACTTGCCTCTACGCTAGGCCAACCCATTCGGCTCGACCTTGCCTCTGCTCGGGCCAAGGTCTCTCAATACAACGTCGCATCTCATCTTGCCACCTCG